AGCGGCAATTTTTATCATCAATTTAAGATTTTTCTTGTTAAGATTTTTAACACATCCGACATTATAGCGATGTTTTAAGCGTAGCTTAAATGTGGCACAAGGCCGAAAGTATAGGGCAGTCAGTGACGATCAAACTCACTATTCTGTCATGATTGTTCTAGCAAGACAAGCTTGTTAACCATTACACCACATCGAGGTGCCTAAGAACGTCCATTATTATGGATAAAGATAGTGAATTTTTTTATAGTGTTTCTTCGAGACTTAGCATGTGTAAAACAAATTCACGGATTTGGATAAAAAAATAAATCCATGAGATCAAAAGCTGCGAAAAATCCTTCCCGCTGCCCCCAATCGGGCTTGCTTCCGCAGTCAAGGTGTTCAGAGGTAGCATGCACCAGTCCTGACCCTACATATACTCACTCTACACGATTCCTCCTCTTGCATTCATAAAACAACCTCATTCAGTAGCCTTCTACTATGACTGTCTCTTGCGTCATGTATTGGGTGAACATATAGTAAAACAATGCTTTGGGTGTAAGAACGCATATCTTTGTTTATTGGTGCATATACTTACATTTAATAAGCTGGTGTACAAAGTGACGAGAGTGTTTGCACCTGCTTGAATCTCGGTATAATCTTGGGTATGTGTGTGTTCAGGAAAAACGGAAAATAGGAAATCGTGACTTGAGAATCGAAGACGAACGCCCTCCATTCACGAGCACAAATACTAAAAACGTTCCCTCGTGAAGGCATTTCTTCGGTGAGAAAGTCACTTCACGTTGCAGGCGAGATTTTAAACAATTAACTCGCGTTCACCAACGAGACAACGGATCTGTCAATGGAGTATGAAAAATTAAGAGATCCCACAAAACTGACACGGGTTATTCGATGGAATAATAAAAAAAGAATCTTACAATCAATGCCTTTCGATTTCAATAAAGTGTAATGTCTTTTGTGAGGTTCCTTTATGGCCTCGACAGCTCACTCATTTCCTTCTCTTGAATTCAAGATTCGAGAAGGAAAATTACGGGTAAAAGAAATGTAATTGGAAATAAATAAATAAAAGAAGGAAAGTTTAAGAAAAAACGAAAGAAAGAAAGAAAGAAAGAAAGAAAGAAAGAAAGAGGGGAAGGTTGAAGAAAAAGTTAAGAGGAAGAAGGAAAATAAATAAATAAAGGAATAAGGTAGCCAAAAATAAAGTGGAAGAAGGAAAAAAAGAAGCAGGAAAGTTGATGATATTAGTAGGTAAGAAAAGAAAGAAAGAAAAAACTTGGGAAGAATGAAGCGGAAGAAGGAGAAAGAAAAAAAATGGGGTGGTTCATTAGAAATGAAGCTGACGAAGAATAAATAAAAAATGAAAGAAAGAAAGAAGGAACGAAAGAAGGAAAAAGAAAAAAGGAAGAAAAAAGAAAGAAAGAAAAGAAAGAAGAAAGGAAGGAAGAGAGAAAGGAAGAAAAGAGGAAAGAAAGAAAAAAGAGAGGAAGACAGAAACGAAGAAAAGAGGAAGGAAGATAGAAAGGCAGAAAGAAAGGAATAATGAAAAGAAAGAAAGAAAGAAAGAAAGAAAGAAAAAGAAAAGCGGGGAGAATTAAAAAATGAAGTATATGACAGAAGAGAAAGAAATAAGGAAATGAAAAGGTTAAGTATTTAAAATTAAAGGAAGCGGAAAGAAATTATAGAAGAAGCAAGTCATAACGGAAATAAAAATAAGAGAATTGAACAAAATATGGAAAGCTGAAGTAAAAAATGGCGTAGAAAGCGAGAAAGAAATGAAAGACAAAAGGTGGAACTTAATTAATATATTAAAACAAATATTCGATATTACAAGAAGAAACAGGGTTCAAATCCCCCAGAAGACGTTTGCTACTACTGGAAGTTTTTTAATTGCATAGAAAACCAAAAGATTTGACAAGAAGAATCTCGATAAGCAAACTCGATAAGCAATAAACATCGGAAAAGAAGATTGAAATTTTCAAAAGAAAACATAATTTTGTATGATGGAAAAAGGCAGAAAGTCATTTTTAGTGATAAATGGTGTGATAATAAAATAATCATATCACATCTCCCCTCTCGCTTTTAACCACCCACAATAATAAAATAAATGTTTTCAGCGCTAAAGCTGAATTAGTCAAATAAAGCTTTGTATGCCTTTACTAACAGTTGTTGCTATGTTACAAATGCAAAATAGAGTTACATTTCTAATGTGTGGCACCATTTAACGAGGCAAAGATGGAAAAGAAGGAAAAGAAGAAAAGGAGAGGCTAAGGACCGAATCGTGGATGATAAGCAGAACACACACACGGCTAAGAGACAATGGATGAGGGATGTTTTGATAAGTAACAAATGGCGAAAGGGTGTCATTACAATGACAGGGAAATTCTGAGTAAAAAGAAAGGGAAAGAAAGAAAGAATCAGATATGTTTTATGACGCCTGTGTTATCTAAGGATATGAAAACAAACTATTGGTACGGGAAGGCATCTTATTATCAACTACAGACCGACTGGCCAAAGAAAAATTCAAATGAAAATGTTATTTCGATAAGTGACGAAAACAGGCAACTAAAAGGACTTTGGACAGATATGAAAAATTAAAAGCCCCCACGAGTGTCCGCTGACCGATTTCCTTCGACGGAACATCCTTGGCCTGCGATAATAAAATTATGTTATCAGAAATATGTACCGAAGGGAAATGAATGGGAATTTAGAAATGTCTTTTCGGGGCGACGTTGGCCGTGTTAAGAAGACCACCCATTCTGATAATTGGCGATAAAATAATTGACGAAGACCACGTGTAGAACAAGAGTTATGACCGCCATTGTTCATATTGTCCCGTTCGCGGCTAGAGAAATGATAACGGCGACTAAGAGGAAGAAAAGGAAAAGAAGGGATAATTTTTTTTAGTTAAGCAAGATATTTTTTTCCCTGAAACAAAGCCGCGGATTCGTCCACGCCCGACTAAGACATCATTGGTCAAGTAGTGATCACGTGACGCACGAAGGAGGCTGTCGCCGCCTCATCCAGAGTATAGGTATGAGAAGCTGCTACGAAGAAGTGGGGAGGGAAGTTCACGCCCTCTGAAGTATGGTGAGAAGGTGGGGAGGAGGAAAGGTTCCCAAAAATGGAAAAAAGTGGAAATTCCTAACCAGAGAGGTGGATATGTATTTAGAATTATCGATGAAACCCCGACGCCGACAGACCCACCCCGGTTTTGGTCGGCGTCCATATAAGCGAAGCCACAACGAGCAGAAATCAGTTCCAGTGAGTTCAGGTCCAGAAAAGTTTGAGTTGAGTCTCCAGTTGAAGCCGCCTCTCAGATAGTTGACCAAGATTCACGCAAATTCCGGACTCCTCTTCAACCCAAGAACAATTATTTTGAAGAGCGACTTAGATCCAGACCACCGAAATAAGTTTTTTTCGACTTTCGTCCGAAGACACACCGAAAAACCAATTTCTTAGAGAGCAAACAACTTGAAGCGTTCAAACTCGCCTAACGGAGAACGACGTGTCACAATCCATAGAACGGGTCGGGAGATAGATGCAGTCCTATGTATCGAACAACTAGACATAAAGTTTGTTACCTTTTTCTTTGATACTTTGAACTTTTTGAGTTTTCATTTTCTTTTCTTTTATGCATAATTGTGTGGTATCACCCCCCTTGAACTCGGTTTGCATTACGGCCCCAACCACTGATTGATCTCGTCTGCCTAAGATCAATTCACAACGTGAGTAGGCAGACTGGAGATCAATGCAGTTACCTTGGTAACCAGGCGTTGGAAGCGAGTTGGGAACGACGAGGCTGATATCAAATCTAACCAGATTCTCACCCGAATCACCAAAAGGTTAGAACGTCACATTTGGGTGCCGCGACCGATACCAAGCCAGTTGGTCGTCACAGGACGAGACAACACGACTGACGCGACAGGCAGACGTCACGTTTGGAGCAGCGACACCCGGACGGAGCAGCGAGGAGCGAACGGCTGGCGCCGCGGCGAGGACGTCACAATTGGTGCTGTTTAGGGACGTCACAGTTGGTGCTGTGGTAGACCAGAATAGAACGTCACAGTTGGCGCTGCGACCAGGGGGCGACGTCACAAATGCAAGGAAATATGTAAGACGACCTGTGGTAGAAAGAAAGAATATAAGATGCACCACAAAGATGGTAAAATTTGGCGGTGGACAGAGAATGATTATTTGGGGTGGGGAGGGGCGCACTTCTTCAAAAGCGATGGTAGAAAAAAATAAATAAAAACTGGTGAAAACATAAACAAGGAAAACTATAAGTCAGACTACAAAGATGGAGAAAGGTTTCAGCATGATGGTGCTTCTTGCCATACAATACATCCAACAAAAAGATTTCTTCCTGGTGTGGGTGTTCAGCTTTTGGAAAACAGCACAAAATCCTGATCTCAATATAAATGAACCATTGTGATGGGAACTTAAGAAGCAAGTGCTTCAACGAAAACCATCTATCTCCAAGAGCTTTGGAATGATAGCCAAAAAGAATTGGAAAAAAATCCCCAATGAGAAAATTTAGGTCCTGTCCCATTCAAAGGTACATCGAGTTGAGGTAATTATTTGAACCAAAGAAGTTCCATCTTAACACGTTAATAATATTGAACAGTTCCTACTTAGAAATATGCATATTATCATTCATCGTCTCAAATACGCATATTATCATTCATCGACCCAAATACGCATATTATACTTCATCGTCCCAAATTTGCATATTATCATTCATCGTCCCAAATTTGCATATTACCATTCATCGTCCCAAATTTGCATATTATCATTCATCGTCCCAAATTTGCATATTATCATTCATCGTCCCAAATTTGCATATTATCATTCATCGTCCCAAATATGCATATTATCATTCATCGCTCCAAATTTGCATATTATCATTCATCGCTACAAATTTGCATATTATCATTCATCGTCCCAAATTTGCATATTATCATTCATCGTCCCAAATATGCATATTATCATTCATCGTCCCAAATATGCATATTATCATTCATCGCTCCAAATTTGCATATTATCATTCATCGTCCCAAATTTGCATATTATCATTCATCGTCCCAAATATGCATATTACCATTCATCGTCCCAAATTTGCATATTATCATTCATCGTCCCAAATTTGCATATTATCATTCATCGTCCCAAATATGCATATTACCATTCATCGTCCCAAATTTGCATATTATCATTCATCGTCCCAAATTTGCATATTATCATTCATCGCTCCAAATTTGCATATTATCATTCATCGTCCCAAATTTGCATATTATCATTCATCGTCCCAAATATGCATATTATCATTCATCGCTCCAAATTTGCATATTATCATTCATCGTCCCAAATATGCATATTATCATTCATCGCTCCAAATTTGCATATTATCATTCATCGTCCCAAATTTGCATATTATCATTCATCGCTCCAAATTTGCATATTATCATTCATCGTCCCAAATTTGCATATTATCATTCATCGTCCCAAATATGCATATTATCATTCATCGCTCCAAATTTGCATATTATCATTCATCGTCTCAAATTTGCATATTATCATTCATCGTCCCAAATATGCATATTACCATTCATCGTCCCAAATTTGCATATTATCATTCATCGTCCCAAATTTGCATATTATCATTCATCGCTCCAAATTTGCATATTATCATTCATCGTCCCAAATTTGCATATTATCATTCATCGTCCCAAATATGCATATTATCATTCATCGCTCCAAATTTGCATATTATCATTCATCGTCCCAAATATGCATATTATCATTCATCGCTCCAAATTTGCATATTATCATTCATCGTCCCAAATTTGCATATTATCATTCATCGCTCCAAATTTGCATATTATCATTCATCGTCCCAAATTTGCATATTATCATTCATCGTCCCAAATATGCATATTATCATTCATCGCTCCAAATTTGCATATTATCATTCATCGTCCCAAATTTGCATATTATCATTCATCGCTCCAAATTTGCATATTTTCATTCATCGTCTCAAATATGCATATTATCATTCATCGCCTTAAATTTGCATATTATTATTGAGACAGTAGTTTTGTATAGCCTTCTTTCAACTTCAACCTGCTTAAAGCTGTGTTTCTTCTGTTACATAGCAGCTACGAAATCGTAACAGCTCAATCCTCAAGTTGTACAGACACTACTGATAAAAACTACACTACTAAACAATCTTAATTTCTCAATAAAAATGAAGGTATATAAACATTTCATGAGGTTGTCCGAAAACTTTTGCACGGAAGTCTATAACAATCAAAATGAGTTCAGCAGTTCGTGTCAATCAGTGAATAAGATTCTTAAAAAATATTTTTAGATATATTTCTTTTATTTTCCTCTTCCTCTTCGTTAACTATCCATTTTTATCATTCTGGGTAAACTTTCGTGTGGCTATTTACAAATTCGAGTATAAAACGGACTTATTTCTACATTTTTGATCCGAGTGTAAATTAGATGAAAGTGTAAAGTGGACCAATTTCTGACCTATTTAATCTCGTTTAAAACGATGGCTATCTTTTTTACAATTATATAAACAGAGCCTTTATCTATCTTTTTGAGCTTAGTCTACTCTTTTTTACCCTCGTGAAAACCGAACCAATGTTTACCTTTTAAATCTTCGCGAAAATCAAACCTGTCTACCTTACAGGCCCTCCTGCAAGCCAAACCTATGTCTCTCTTTTAGACCCTCATGAAACCTGAATCTATATGTACCTTTTAGACACTCGTGAAAACCATACGTATGTTTAACTTTTAGACCATGAAAATTGAGTCTATGCCTACCTTTTAGACTCTCGTAAAAATCGAACCTATGTCTACTTTTTAGACCTTGAAAATCGAACCTATGTCTACCATTTAGACTTTCGTGAAAATGGAACCCTTGTCTATCTTTTAGACCTTTGCGAAAACCGAAACTATGTCTACATTTTGACCCTCGTAAAAACAGAAACTATGGTTACCTTTCTGACGACAGCGCAAACCGGACCTATATCAATCTTTTTGGCTTATGCCTGCCTTTTTGAAAGTTCATTGAGATTCTTTCAGAGCAGTCATGTTCGACATTGAATAAACCGCCGATTGTTGGCATGTCTTTAAATTAACAACGGAAGTGTTGGTAAAATCTTTTTTTTCTGTTTCATTTGTTTTCCTCGCCTTCTCTTTCTTTTCGCATTGAACTCTTTTCCATTCTTCTTAAAGAATTCTTTAGGTTTTCTTCGTGACAATTTCCTTTCCTTTTCTTTCCTTCCTTCTTTCATCTTTTCTTCGACTATCTTTTTTCCAGTTCCTCCCCCACAATTGACACACTCACCTCGTATCATCTTCAATCGTTCAATCTACAATGGCATGGATAAGATTCCCGCAGCTTCCTATTGGCTTAATCACTGCAGATAATAGATTCTTCCTCTTTTGTGAGGATGCTTCAGCCTCCAATAATTATCAAGTTCGGAATCTTGAAAATAATAATTACAGAAGATGGCGAATGTCGTTGACCTTAGAAAGAGCATTATTTCAACAGCATTATTACAATTGTCTAAACTGGCTCAGAAAAACTTTGGATTTAACATAAATTCTATCAACAATATAGACAGCATATAGAGACGCTTTTCTAATGAAACTGTCAATGTTTTAAGGATTTCTCTCCGTTGTTAACCAATAAAATATATTCCTATGACTTAGAAAGCTTTTTTAAAATGACAAATTAAGACACAATTTCTTTTCGAAACAAAGTAAATATTGCTGAACTGCGGCCTTCCTACATAGCAGTGAATAATAGACAATTTTCTAACTCCTTACGGATGTGTTTCTACAGAAGGATGCTGAGAATACCATAGACCGATCATGTGAGCAACGACGAAGTTTTAGTTTGTCTAACGGCATATCAACTCCTTATACGTCATTTAATGCTGAAATTTAATTTTCTTGAACGATTTAGTAATTTATTTGTTGAAAAATGTATTACTGGTAATTGTTGTTACTATGAAAATGTATGGCAGGTAATTTTTTTTTTAATCTATAGTTGGTAATTTCTTTTAAAAAATGTATTGCTTGTAAATTTTTTTTTTTTTTTTAAATCTATAGCTGGCAAATTTTAAAAAAAAATTAAATCTATTGCTGGTAATTGTATTAATTAAAAATGTATTTCTGGTAATTATTATTTCAAAAAAATGTATTGTTAATTTTTTTCGTAAATATATTGCTGTTAATTATTTTTACTATGAAAATGTACTGATGGCAATTTTGTTTCAAAAATGTATTTCAGGTATTTTTTTTTTCAAAAATATATTGATTGTAATTTTTTTTCTCGAAAAGTTATAGCTGATAATATTTTTATCAAAAATTTATTTCTGATAATTTTATTTTTTTTTTTCAAAAATGTATTTCTGATAATTTTTTTTCCAAAATCTATTTGCAAAAATGTATTGCTAGTAATTTTTTTTTTCAAAAATGTATTTTCGGTACTTTTTTTTTTACCCAAAAATGTATTGTTGGTATTTTTTTTTTTTCAAAAATGTTTTTCTGGTAATTTTATTTTATTTTTTTCAAAAATGTATTCCTGGTAATTTCTTTTTCAAATATGCATTTATATACGGTAATTCTTTTTACTATGAAAATGTATTGCTGGTAATTGTATTAAAAAATTGTATTTTTATGCTTTCATAAAGTTTTGACCGCGGTTTGGGAGTTCACTATTTGCCTATAGTTGGGATCCTAACAGGTGATACCAACTCCGTCAGAGTGGAGCTTGGGACAACAGTTATTAAGAGGTGGTTTCAAGTTCATCAAAACCTCCCGATCCGATGAGAGGACTTGCTGCCGGGTGTAGTTTATCGTCATACGCAGGAGGGACGGTGTTTTAGGGAAAATAGAAAACGGACACTTATGTTTCATACCAGGAAGAGACAGTCGGAATATCTAGGGTACATAATGGAGAAAAAGGTCTTGGGAAATTTGATACGGACAGAACAGATTAAAGGCAAGAGCGACAGAGGAAACAACGGAGAACCTACCTAGCGAGGCTGTGTAAATAGATGGCAAAACAGAGTGATAAGAGAGATAACAAAAAAAGACAAAACTTATTAAGTACTATAAAGGATAGGAAATTCTGGGCAGCCATGTTTGGCAACGTCCCGAAGAGACACAGCACATAGAAGATGGAATCGAAACACCGAGTGAGAGTTAATTATTTCTGATCTGCGTTGATTCTTGATGGTCGTAGAATAATAGTTTGGGTAGTTTCGATGAAACTTGAACTCTGATATTTGGTAACAGTGGGGAGGGCATAACATTTCCGACACAAAACTGCAAGATTCAGAAGTCAGATATCACGACAAGGTACTTGCCTAACACATAATCTTGAAAAGAATGTTTAATGTCAAATAGAAAAAAAATGGTTGCGTATAACCTTCGACTGATAAAGTAAAAATTCTGTCACTTTCTCACCTCCTTAATATAGTTTTCCTATATCCTTTCTATAAATACTTTCATGATAATTGTTCTAACGAACTTTCCTCTATGATATTAATAACGCTGTTTTGTTTTGTTTCTTCTATATAAATTGCATCTATTGTAATTATTAATGGGGGCTTCATTTTTTTAAAATTATTTTTATTCTCTACCACAACAAACAATTTGTACATATGGGAACTAGTTAGGGCTTCATAGAGACTCTGTGGTATTATGGTGACTGAAGTAAGAATAGTAATTAAGAATGTGTTGTTTTGGTGTAAGGAATATTGTGGTATTTTCGGGTCACTAATTGTAGCTAGCTAAGTTTAAGATATGATAGATTGATGACCAGCCTCCTTCCTTTTGGCCTTGTGCCACATTTTTGTGTTATCAAAATAAATATTACTCTTCTCTATGGTACTTAGACTGGATGAATTTGAGCTCAGTACTAATTACATTTGAAATGGTTAAATGTAACCGTAAGTTCTATGCTAACAGTTTCTTCACTCGCACTTCACGCTTATGGAACGCTCTTCTGGCTTCTTGGTTTCCAGACAGGTTTCATCTACAAAAATGTAAATGCAATGTCAATAGTCATCTTCTTTCCTCTGAAATTCTCAACTTGTTTGTTATCCCCCATTAATAATGTTTTTGTTATATTCTTTCACACTTGATAGCCCCCATTCCTGTTAGTAGCTTTATTGCCTTGCTTCGGGTGAAAAGATTAAAAAAGAATAAAGATATTTTTTTATTTCGATACTAGTTTTAATATTTACACCATTTTTTAAAAAAAAATATTAATGTTCACTCAATACAAGGCCCAAGAGCCACTGAAGGTAGAGAGTTACCGTGTTGCGTTGTATGAGCGCAAAAAAGGCAATAACGGAAGTTCATGGGGGTTTATTCATTGAATGGAAAAACATCAAGTCTAGGGAAGAATTCGTCCGCCAATTAGTACGGGCCTACGATTTTGAGAGGGACACTGGAAGAGGCGGAGGGAAAACCGTTTGGTAAAGAATACTGATATTGTACAGTCAGTTAGTTATCTGTATCAGTGATACATACTTAAGCGATCATGTATCTTTCGATACATGACTGACGAGGCAGATTTTTTCCCCGCAGTTGCCATCCAAGTCTTTCCTGCTATTTATCCATAGTTGGGGGCGGGGGAAGAAGAGGATTCATGCCTTTCCTAAGGTGATTAGCACGTAAGTGACTGCAATTCAAAGTCGGCTCTCCGATTCTTCAATCTGAGCCGCTATCGATTACTCCACCGTTGGGGCACCTCAAGGTGGTGTAATGGTTAGAAAGCTTGTCTCGCTAGAGCAATTACGACTGAGTAGTGAGTTTGATCCTCACTGGGTGCCACATACTTTTGGCCTTGTACCACATCCGAGCTACGCTTGGAAAATCACTATCGGGCACCTCAAGGTGGTGTAATGGTTAGCAAATTTGTCTCGCTAGATCAATGAGTAGTGAGTTCGATCCTCACTGGGTGCCCCATACTTTCGGCCTTGTGCCACATCTAAGCTACGCTTAGAAAATCACCATTACTCCACTGTGCCTCCAT